CCAGGCTCTTCGTTGGCCATTCCCTGATAGCAGGTGGAATGGCCTCCTGCAAAACCGCAACTGACATTACCTCTTGGTAACAGAGGTCCACACACACAAAAAGCCGAAAATGGCAAAAAGATCTGTGGCCGATGTTCTAGGCCGGGACTATTCTCGTCCAGGTAAGTCTCTGCGGCACCTTGCACAAAAGAGGTGCAGGTTGCCACACTAGACAAACGGACAAGGAAAACAAAAGGTTCTGCAGGAGGGCTGGCGGTTGGCTGTGAAGCCTTAAAGCATAATCGAAAAATTGAAAAGTTAAAAGTAAAAAAAAGGAGAGGAAAGCAGCTGCAGACCGCCCTTGGGGCTTGGAAAAGGCCTCTGGTTGCGCAAAAGGAAAGTGTGACTCTGAAACGAGAAATGTACAAACAGGAAAAGGAAAAAGAAAGACAAAGAAAAGGAAAGGAAGGGGGTGGCCCACGTCGGGCAATTCAAACCCCGTTAGAGGACCACGCTTGCAGTTCGCAGGTCTTACAGAATGCCGCAGCCCTGCAGCGCATGTCGTATTAAAACGGCCAAGCAACTGCAGTTTGCACGTCTTACCCAACTGCCGCAACCCCGCAGTGCTTGCCGACCGACAGCTGAAACAGCCACGGCAATTTGGGAACGGTGTCCCGAGTATTTACTAGGTCCTTGTTGCCAGTCACGGTTGTTCCAACCCGACGATCCATTCTTATCTCGAGACGAACTTGCCCATGACGAAGTGGACCAGTCTAAATCACGGTTCCACGACGTGATTCTAAGGGCGATCCTAGTGGGATTTTGTCTCGGAGCTGAAAATCGTGGTCTTTGGATGGCAAAGCCGGTGGTTCCATCGGATCTGGAAAAAGTCAAGACCTGCAATGTAACCTGGCATCAAAAGCTGACATGAAGTCAGTAGCGAAGAGAACATCGCGACTGATGAAATCGGATGCCGACACCATCAAAGCTGAGATTTCATTCGGAGCTGGTGGCACCACTTCCGGCACCGATCAATGCATCCCTGCCTTTATCGTTTCAAACCTGGCAGGTACTCGCACGGGCTGACCCCGCCGCAGGTAGCACGGTAAACGAACACAAGACCAGCTTGCAACTACCTGGTACACACTTGGTAATCCATCGCGCAGCCACTCATCAATTGTTCATCAAGCACTGCTTGATGTATCACGAAAGCATTAAGCTTTCAGGGGTTCCGGATCAGTTGTGTTCAGCTTGTTATTCTGCTGTACAAGGCAACTGCAACCCAAAGCATCCAAAACCAGCTTCACGTGGACTCAAGACTCATTGAAAATCTTTGTAGGGTCCAAGGTCCAAGCTGTCAGAAGCTGACCCATGGCACCTTGCTGATCCCTCCTAGGGCCCAAGAACGGGATC